CACTGTGATGAGGAGGGTTGCAATGAGGAAAGTAAAAAAAAAATCTAGATGCTTGCTCTGGATGGTGTAAATGTGATTTTTTCCTCCATGCTAACTAGATGACTGACTGAGTCGAAGTTGACTGACGTTACGATACGACCGGCGTGGTGTGTGCAGATGGGGTTGTGAAAGGACAAGCCTGAGTTCGGAATCGGGAAATGAAAACAGAGCGTATCGAACGGGGATTTTTTTTCGTATGTGTATGAGAGTTCCTATTTGAATATTGCAGAGGAGCAAATTTTCTTTGCTTGGAGCTAATTTGCTGCATGCAATTAGAATGATTGATGAAGTTGTGCTTCTGTGAGAAATGTGTGCCTTAAATAGATACGGTTCAATTTCTAATTAAAACAGAACCACTATTCGCTCGACTGGAAAACTCAGGTGTCGTAATGCCATCAACAATGGACTGATATGATAATTTCGTTCCGTCTACTCGCGAAATGATCCAAAATGCGATAAAATTCATTTTGAAAAATTAAACGAACAAAAAATCAAATTCGCACGACACTTCATTAGTACTTTAACAAAGCAACTAATTGTTCAAACATTTTCACCAAATTATGCCAAATTAGAATTGAAATTTCATCCAGATCCGTTTGTCCCGTGTGTCAAAGCCTACTACCGTGTTCGCCGGACGATGGAACGACGACGAAACAAAGAGGGCTCCGGTCGAAACGCAACTTGGGGATGCATGCATGCGATTGATGCAAAAAGCAAATAATTTCTGGCTGCATTGTCAAGCATACACATAGAGGGAATAGCACACTTGATACAATTTTTTGTCTTTTGCTGTCCCCACTGCAATTGAATGATTGGGATGTAAAATGGTTCGGACTGTGGAGTTGGAGCTTTTTTTTCTACGCTACCTGTATGAAGTCAGAATGACACATGATGCAGGCAACGGAGGAGCCGCTAAATGAAAATCGTAGCAGTCTATGCACCGAAAGGATCCATCCTCGCCTGCTGAGAATCATCCGCTGGTAGCTGCAGATGAATTCGAATGAATGGTTTTCAATAAAAAAAAAATACAATGGACAAAAGTAACGATAATAATGAATAATGTTTGGGATTCGATATTCCGACGGGTTCGAGTCTTTTTCTGAGCCGAATCTGACGATGGTACGATGGCATTCGGGAACGGGCAAAAAATTCAATAATTAAATCAAATAATTAACACTGAATCGACAGTTTCAATCTTTATTTGAATGGCGAATTGTACTGCGGAGAATATGACAGAAGAGGGACAAAGGCAGCCATTGATGGTTCTCTGATCGGTTGACGATGATGATTTTTGATTCATCGTCGTCCGTTGTCGTCATCGTGTGCCGTGCAGCAGTTGCATCGTCGAAAAATTTGACTGGAAGTTGATTTTTTGTCTGTTTAAATTTCTCCTTCCACCCTCTTGACTGTTTCGTAGCCAACTTGCTAGGATGCAATTGATGGATGCATTTTCGTACGGTTTGGTTTTTGAATCTTGTTTGTGTTTAGGTTTTATAACAGAGCGTGACATTGGATCATTTTTGGATATTTTCTTGTGAACCATGCTGCCAGGTATGATCTTAATGAGTTTTAATTATATTTGATCATTGATTTTGATGAATTGATTTGCTCGACCAATAGCCGAAACGTTGGGCAGTTAAAAAACTATCGTTTAAAGTGGCCATACTGAAAAGTCTAAACTCTGAAAGATAGATCATCAACCATCGGAAAATCGATAACAGTTCCAACGTCTAAGAATTTCAAATTATCTAAGTTACAAAATCAATGCAGGATTTTCAAGTCGGTAAAGGTGGGAGTGCCGATGAGTACCCTTTGATTTGACATGAGTGAAGGAGAGGCTATTTTGGAAAATGCATTAGTTTTTGATAGGAAAGCAAAATTGCTGTTTAGGGCATGATTGATAGAATCTGCAAATGTCATGGCTTTACAAGGCATTTTTGGATTATACTTTAACTCTAACAATTCCCTGACCATTATTTCGTGTGGTGTAGAAGCTTTTCACACTGACATTTTTAGTTTTCCCATTCATGGGGAAGCGGAGATTATTAAACTATGATAATTGATGTTTGAGGCTTTGTAATATCGCAGCTTGTAACATAAAGAAGGTTATTTTTCCTCAAATTTGCGCTAGATAATAAAGCGTTGCTCTTGAAATTGTAATAATTGACAGATATTTAGTGTTGTGGACAAAAGAAGATGATTTAAATGAAAAGTGTAAGTTAGATGAAGAAATTTTAGTGGATGGTATCCGTTTGAGTTATGTGTTCATCCTACTATTAAAAATTTACACTTGAGCAGATCACAAGAGTGAGTTACTTCCCTATCAGCTTAAATTTTTCTGTCCTTTCTCTCTAAAGTTAGTTAGCAAGTTTGATTTACAATTATCACAAACTGTCAGTGGTGTACTAGCCACTGAGGAAGTTTTCAAGTAGTGGATGAAAATGCAAATTGGTCAAACCATAAATAGTTATAGCGGAACTAAAAATAAACTGCTCAGCCCACTACAAAAGCTCCGAATCAAAATCATGTTCCAATTAAGAGAATGTTACGAGAAATTTGCTTCTCCATACTTGCTGCATCGTAGAAAACATGAAGAAGCAGTTTTGCTTTGTATGTGTGACCGTATCACCTTAAGCAGCGGGAAGACCCTATTCAAAGTAAGGAATATGATTAACATCGCTCGTCGTAGAGAATGGAGAATGTTTTTGAGGGCTCTACACACTTAATTTTTTTTGCCGAGATTCTAACAGTCGAGAAGTTTAACCATGTTTGCTGATTTTATTTCTGAGAGCTCAGCTAACAAACAGATATTTTATCAGTAACAATAAATGTCAAGTTAATCGGCTAATGGAGATTTTATCGAGCCAGTTAGAGTGTGAAGATTAATTGTCTTGATATGCTTCACGTGCTTGGAATAGGATATGATCAGCTCCATCAAAACATATAACTATGAAACTTGAACTTCACGTTTACGCAGCAAACAGGGAGCTCGGGAGCAATGTTGCAACAGTATGCGAGATTTGTGTTCTAGAAAACTAGTAATGACAGGGCATATCAGCCACATGACGGTCATTTTTGGACTCTTCAAGGAATCATCTAAAGCCGTTCGTAACCCTATGTTGCTATTATAAATTTTCAAATCTATCTAATCTAAGCAAATCTAATCTAATACAAGCGCAGCCTGTACGAGAAAGCATCCTGGAAAATGATTCGGTTAGATGAAGCTTTATCACTTTTGTTTTTCAATATTTATGCTTGCATAATATCTGAGACATGACACAAATATCAAAACGGCCAAGCCTACTACGTTGTATTTGCCAAAATAATTCGAGTTCAAATAAAAATATTCAAACAACGAAGCATTTCGTGAATCTACAAGGGTTGAAGAATGCGTGGACATGTACCGTATGAAACGCTCCACGTTACATCAATGAGATTATAGTAATATGTCATGTGATTGGTACACATAATGTTAAACATATCAATAAAGGAAAACTCCATATGTCTCCTATGATACTCATATGTCTCACCATATGTCTCCTATGATACACATAATCGCATTCTGTCGATTGCAACCTGGTATTGAAACTCCATAACACGGGTAACAGAACAATCGCGGTTCCACTAAAAGTACACATAACATCATCTGACCATCTAACGCACCATCATAAACATGGTGAAAAACTGCTCCGCGTGAATTGCTAATCCTTAATTGAAGAGGTTTTCAGTAGTTGACTGGACAAAATTCGTTAAAATTTTACAGCATTTTTAAAATCAGGTGTTACTCCGTCCTCCCCTAGTTGTGTTGAATATTCGGCAATAGCAAAATTTTGGCTAACTTAAAAGTGTCGCAGTCCCAAGAATAGTTAACCGATTTTGATGAACCTGGAAGCATTCAACGGGAAAATCGATTAAGTTTTTTTTTGATATTATGCTAAAAATTGCAGGCACTGCCAGACACCGGAAATGCTCCGGATTTTTTGAGGTTATGACAAACGTGCATTTATTTTGCCGCTCATTTCTTTGGAATCTAGGATGAAAATCTGATATTTAACATTTTTCACAAAAACTAGAGTCTATCACAAGTCTGCTGCTGGTTGAGGATTTCAAATCAGTTCATATACAACTGAGCTACGACCATTTTCGTGGAATTTTCTCTGGATTAGTGGTTGTGCCGTACTAGAAATCATAATTGCAAGAACAAGGAATGTATTGATTTGAATGGAAAATATTCACTCGTCAATTTTTCTGGATGGTCAGATTAACACAGTCTACGCACGATACCGTAATTTTAATAGCACTATCATAATTTACAAGCACTAGGTGTTGGGTGCTAACCACTACGACGGACCCGTCATCTTCTTAAGATTGTTTCTAATACTCCTGTCATTCTTTTTATTTTATTATTGCAACATATAGGAGGCTTAACAGCTTTTTATTTTTTTGTTAAGCTACTTGAAATTTGGTCCGTCCTAACTTTATGCTTGTTTCAATAAATACAATCAACTATTCATTTTCCTAGTACTAACAGTACTGGGTCAGATTGATTTTGCAATGGTTACTTACCATTAAAATATTTAATCGCTGCCAATCTTCTTCTCTCATTTTCTGCTACAGCAAAACCACAGTCAACCGTTCTACACTACCGAACGTTACAACATTAAACTTAGCTCACTTTTTTTTTTCGTCCCACATAATGAAACATAATTGTGACTAATTACGAGTTTTGAAATTTGTCAATTTTAATTTCCGTTCCTTAATTACGACATTTACGATTTTCTACGCCTCCTCGTCGACCATTACTGTCATTCGTCGTCGTCGTCGTCATGGTTGTCCATGGCCTACCACGAGCAGACGGTATAGTGTCGCCAGCAGAGCGTTCCTTTTTCTCGCACTCGTTCAATGTTTCGCCCGCCTTCTCAACTCACACCCCTCTTTTGTATTTTGTTGTTCATTTGCAGGACCGTGAAAGAAGTGATAATTGTAGCCGATCAAACAGTCCACTGCTGGACGAATTGAATCAAGCGTCAAACCGTTCGAAGGTAACCGCGGCACTTCGGAACCGTGAAAAAATGTCGCCTCTGTCCCTGCCGACGGGTGGATCCCCGGTGAGCAACCAAGCTGCAGCAGCTGCAGCTGCTGCCGCGGCAGCCCAGGTGCATCTGAATGGAACTAGTGAGTACATATCGAGTTCTAAAACCACCCCCCAACCGGACTCCCCTTATGATCTGCATGAGTCACACTTTTTGTCCACAGTGCAAGACATGTTGAACCTACAGAAGCTGCAAAATCTGGCACAGCTGACTGGTGGAGCGGCGGTGTTACCCGGACTGGGACTTCCGACGGCCGGACTACCAACGGCAGCGGCCGCATTACTTAACAATTCTCCGCTGAATCTCAGCCTTGGAGCACAAAATCATTCGTCGGTGATGGGAGCACTGGGTGCGGTCCCACAGACTTTGACGGCAGCTGCCGCCCAAATGCCACAACTAATTCTCGCTTCCGGTCAGATTGTCCAAGGGATTCAGGGCGCTCAGCTGCTGATACCGACGTCACAAGGTGAGTACAATTTCATTCATTCATTCATGAGCAGGAACATCGTGTAGAATGAGTGTCAACAATTTAACACCGCAGAAAAGCACGTGTTCACAACGAGCTTACCACCTCCCTCATCCCCACCCATTTGAATTCCATTCACACGAATATCAATTTTCATCTCTTAACCGATATATTAACACCCTTCTCTCATTTGTTTTCCACACAAACATACCACTCACAACGTATCGTATCACTGATATTATTCACGCAGGAATTGCCACCCAAACCATTCTGACGATCCCCGTGGGGCAACAGGTGATTTCCAACATGAGCAGCGAAAATTTATTGCAGTGTTTAAATTTTAATACCGTCGCAAACAACAACTTCAACGAGATGCTGAACCAATCGGCGCACCACCACCCGCACCACCCGGGCAATGCAGCATTTGCGGCAGCGGCAGCAGCAGCGGCCGCAGTGGCAACCCGCGAATCCCCAGTCACAGTCAATAGTGCAATCAATACCACAAGTCTGCTTACGAACCAACTCGCGCTGGCCGCAGCCGCCGCCGCCAATAGCAATCATCACCATCACTCACACCACCATCACCACCAGCAGCAACAGCAACAGCATCAGCAGCAAATGCATCTACAACAGCAGCAGCAGCAGCAGCAGCAACAGACGTCCCATCATCAACAGCATCATCATCAGCAGCAGCAGTCCAAGCATTTACACCACGGTCACCAACCGGGATCATCGACAACGTCGTTATCATCGTCAGTTCACCATCACCAACCGTCGTCGTCGTCATCGTCGTCTTCTTCGGCGCTGCACGTGATGGATAAGTTTAAAAATTTATCCACCCACGAAAGGACGCCGTCGGAACGGTCCACACCGGAAATGCGCATCAAGCTAGAATCTCCAAAGGTGGCGTCGCCTATTTCGCTGGCAGCGCAATCCTCTTCACGACCACCTAGCAGCAGTTTTGCGTCGGTGTTTGAGAAATCTCCTCAGATGAAGCGGACCAGCTCACCCAGCATACCGCCGTGCAGTGTAAGTAACAGCAGTACCGGCAGTGGCAGCAATTGCAGTGTCATCAGCGGACTCAGCAGCAGTAACGGTGGTGGAGGAGGAGGACACATTCAGGTGGCTAAGAATTTGACCAGCCCAGGTCACCATTCGCCGTCGGATAATGCGATCAGTAGGTGAGTGTACGTCGAAGTTGTTCCAAATTTAGATGATCCCTTTTTAAATTTAGAACTATTTCATTGTGGTGGGATAAATGAAGAAATGGTAATTTTTTTCATTATACTCTAAAGTCCAAGTCAGCCTTCTGGTGGGGTAAATTGATAGAGCCGGGACAAAATAATCGAATTGCTTAACAAATTTTGCGCAAATGTTTGGAAATATACACTTGTTATCTTCCATTTAAATGAACATTTGGTATTAAATTAGTAAATTGGTAACAATACCTTCATGGTAAGTTATCTAAACTAATATAATCGAATCTAATCTAAGACAAACGCAGCCAGTACGAGAAAGCATCCTGGAAAATGATTAGGTTAGATGAGGTCTAATATTTTTGTTTTGTCTAATTGATGTTTACAGCATATCTGAGATATGATATAAACATCAATACGGCCAGGTCAACTGCGTTGTATTTGCCACAAAGATGATTCTTGGAAATAAATGGGAACATTTCTTGAATCTACAGGGGCAGAAGGATGCGTGGACATACCGTACCAAACGCTCCGAGTTAATATGTGTAGTTGTGTGTAATGTGTAAATATTTGTACAATATTGAAGAATCATAAAATAAAGCAATGGAAGGATCTTACCGAATTTTCACCTATGTACCACAACACATTGCTTGTTGAGCAGAAAAACGAACCACTTGTTGATTCACCGATTTGTTTGCACTTTCCCTTCTGTTCTGTGATTCCGTGCTTCACGCGGCAATTTCCTTCCGTAGATCGTCCTTGTTCGGTTTTGAACTTTTCTTTAGTATGTCCTGATTATAGCACTTTTTGCTCGTTTTCACGCTGTTAAAACGACAATAATCAGATTCAGATCCTCCACATTTCTGGTCTGCCAGATTCTCTCGAACTTCTACCAGTGATCGATGTTGTCTAACACGACACCAGAACTATTCGCAAACTTTATCAATTTAATGAGACCACCGCTAAAAATCTTCATTTTTCATGTTTTTTTTTTCACACAACCGAAAAAGAGTTTTTAGACGGAAAACACACAGACAAGCTAATAAAAATCGTGACAAGAGCGCAAGAAACTCAACCACTCGCGAGCAGAACCTATTTCGATTTTCCAATACCTTCATGGTAAGTTTTGTTAAAAAATATGTTCTTTGCTTCAGTTAAAAAAAAATAATATTTCATTGAAAAAAATGCTCTTAACCTCAAACAGAAAATTCCATTGTGACGAGATTTAGGCTGAACGAATTTTTCTAACATATGGGCTAGAATTTGCTCGTAAGTTTTCGTTTCAGCTAGCCTAGTTTTGTTAAAAATGGGAAACCGTTAGCACGAAAAAAATGGTTTTAGAAAATTTCTTAGATTTTAGACAATTGATAATTGATCTAGATAAAAAAAATCCATCATTTTTGTATTATTGGCTTTCAAAATAAAGCATGCAGAATAAAAACAAATTAACGGCGCCGGTGGTGTAGTGGTAAGCGTGATTACCTCTCACCCCAGCATGCCTGGGTTCAATCCCAGTCGGCGCCGCCGGGATGTTCTGAGGCATAACATCTCTGATCACGCCTTCCTTCGGATGGGAAGTAAAGCCGTTGGTCCCCGGTTCATGAGTTGATGGGTCGATAGGTAGGGTCCAGGTGTGGGAGCTGCCTTCCTGGCACGTCGGTAGCATTGGTGCTCAGCACGGAAAACAAGATCGACGGAAAAAACAAACCAAAGGAAAAAAAATAATAAAAACAAATTGGGCAGCAGAGGCCAACAGCTCTACTATATGGGGGTCAAATTTTGCAGATGAACAATTTTAAAATAACCCTGCAATTCACGCGTTCTTATTTCTGACAGACAAGGAATCAATTTTGACAAACACTTTTATCCAGAACAGAGGCATTTGCGAACAATTTAATATATGCTCGAAGTGTCAATTTTAGATTTATCGGAGTAGGTCACGCTGTAAACTGATGTGTTTGGTTGTTGCTGCTTTTATCGCAAATTCTACGGAAGTCTTCAATGCACAACATGTAAATATTTACAACTATTGACAAAGCTTAGCTAATAATGTCGTTTTGATCTTTGAAAACAAGACAAATGAAAAAAAACAGACCTACTGCGGTGAAAATTCGGTACGGAAAATGGGAAACTGCTTTAGTTTGTGATGGGAATTTGTGAGATTCATCGAATCAAGTGCAGCTAAGCGGACTGAAAGTGGATTTTCAATCGAAAGCGCTGCATCCAACGGTACTCCGACTGACTGCTTGAGGGCCTGCTGCTGGCTTGTGAATGTGTGTGCACACGATAGAATTTGTTGGAGTGGAGTCCAATGAGCCGACCGAAGAAATTGTATGGCCCAACACTGGAGAAGACCCGTAGGAAGATCAGAAGAAAAGAAACATGCTGAAAGCAATATGTTTTGGTGAGATCGATTAAGAAACATTTGTAGAAAAGCAGTTATGCATATACTAAATACGTGCCAGGATCAAAAGTGTGGATTTTGGATGCTGGAAGTATGCATATGCATACACTTCAGGTATCCATTTGATATGTGGGTTTACTCATGCACACATTAATTGTATAATAAAGAGATATCACCTTCTCCAGGGCTTATAGTGTTTACATCAATCAAATCTCGTTAACTGTTTGGGAATAGTGCCCCCTCTGGAACTCAATATTTTGCTCTAAATTTCCATGAATTTTGAGAACGAGAAATTTCAAGATCCAGAAAACTAATGGGTTGTCTATATACCATGGTGATATGCCTCCTTACTGAGGGGGGGGGGGGGGGGTCCAAACAAATTATGAAATATGTATGCAGTGTTGTGGTAGTGGGTAGTTGTGGGTAGTCGATGACTACGTTGCTCCAAACCGAAAAAAAAGTTTACAAAGTAGTTCAAATAGAGCAATCCAATCCAGAAAAAAATATATTTATACACGCTTAAATGAGAGCAATATTTCACCGTAAATGCTAAATATTAAAAATACACTGCACATTATTAAGTTACATTCGAACACTTGCGCTCCTGGTAAACATGGTAAGGAAAATGTTTTAAAAATGATAAATTTGAAATGCATAGTGCTCCTGGTAAATAAGTTAACGGAAAAATTAAAAAAAAATGTTAAATTTAAAATGGCTTGCGCGCCAAGGTCGTGGCTAGTCAAAGTAAGGTGACGACCATCCTGTTTTGAAAATATCATTTGAAAAATTGTCACCTCCAATCAGGCTTGCAATTGCTCATTACAGCAAAAATGCTATTTTTCGGTATTATGAAACAATGGGATACTATAATGTAAGATGCCAGAAGAGGTGGTAAAGTTTGTATATGACATATAAAATTTTTAAATTTTGCTTTCAGAAGGTCACAACTAGCGATTAGCTGTAATTATACAAACTTTTCCACCTCTTCTTGCATCTTACAAATAAAAATTATTATCATAGTATCCCATTGTTTCAAAATACCAAAAAATAGTATTTTAGATGTAATGAGCAATTGCAAGCCTGCCTCCAATTTTTAAAATTCGGGGAAAATAAAATAAAATATCGTATGAAAAATTGACACCTCCAATTATGAAAAGGGGGGGACCAAGGTGACAATATCATATGAAAAAATGACACCTACAATTATGAAAAGGAGGGACCAAGATGAAAATATCATATGCAAAATTATCACATCCAATTATGAAAACTGGGGACCAAGGTGAAAATATCATATGAAAAAATGACACTTCCAATTATGTAAATGGGGGATAAAGACACAAATACGATATGAAAAATTATCACCACCAAATATAATTATGAAAAGGGGGGACCAAGATGAAAATATCTTATGAAACATTGACACCTCCAATTATGAAAAGGGGGATCAAGATGAAAATATCGTATGCCAAACAATACGGCTTGTCATAAAGAAGTTGAAAATACTTTTTAATAACTTACGTAAAGAAGCAATAATACTTTAATTTACATCATTTAATACATATATACAGCCTAAAAAGCGCAAGACGCTGAGCTTATACAACTAAATACTGGTCTTATATCATGTTTTGGAAACATCATAAAAACCAGCGACAAAAAAAAAAGAATAAAAAAAACCTGAGCATGGGATTCGATCACTGGTCCTTGGCGTGGTAGACTCATTACTTCCTAACTAGACCAACTCCGCTTGATGAGAGGTTAGTTATAAGTATCTATCATGTTTTTGCCAACGGCATGAAAATTATTTTCTCGTTCAACACGCCTTCGATACGTCAAAAAGACGTTTTATTAACAGCAAACCGTAAATCTAACTGCCAGAATGTTATTTAAAAGTGTTTTCAACTCCTTACAAGACAACCTGCTCATTTTCAGTTGTATTAATTTATGAGATGTCATAAAAAAGTGTTTTCAACTTTCTTTATAACAAACCTCCGAATACCTCATAAGAAACTGTCAATCACTGCGTGAAGAGACAGTCCGGCTCAATGGCGCCGTCAATGTACACGCCAATCTGAAAAGTACAGAATCTCTTCAAGAACTTTATAAATTCAACTAAGATTGATTTTGTATACGACAAGTTTTATAGTGGTATTAAAACAGTTTAAATAACATTTAAAGATAAAAACAAAAGAAACCTGGTTTGGAAAATCTTGAATCTAGGAAGTATGAAGAAAACATCTTTAAACCTCATATATAACGTGGGATGTTTTCTGCATCACTTATAATACATTTACACAACAAGCCGTTCTAATTATTTTTCAAAAAGATGTTTTATGTGTTACTTGGGATGAAAGATTGTCACCACCAATTATGAAAAGGGGGGACCAAGATGAAAATATCCTATGAAAAATTTACACCTCCAATTATGAAAAGGGGGGGGGGGACCAAGATGAAAATATCAAATAAAAAATTGTCACCTCCAATTATGAAAAGAGGGGGACCAAGATGAAAATATCCTATGAAAAATGGTTACCTATAATTATGAAAGTGTAGACCGTTTTACAATAGTGCTGTTGCCTTACAT